AAAAAAAAAAAAAAAAAAAAACTGTGAGATTGGGATTCGAACCTGCTGATATTATTGTATCAATTTTATGTAACAATAATGTCAACGAAATATAAAAAAAAAGACCTTTTCAGATTTCTTTAAAACTCCGCCGTGAAAGCGACTTGCAGGGTCCTCGCCGTCGTTTTCCTCAGCCTCCTTCTTCCCCTTTCTGTCCTCCTCCTCACCGCCTCTCAATTGCCCGCTACTTACTATCAATCTTCGGCGATAAAACAACGTGGGTCCTCAATTTACTCGTTTTTCTAGTGGCATTTTCAGCTGTCGTCAACTGCTTGACCGGATCTAATCCGGCGTTGCTCATCGGCGAACGGCGTCGCATTTGCGCCGCGTGGGCTCTGCTTTTTCTGATGCAGGCTTTTTTTGATCTTCTGGTCGGAAAATGCGGTGAGGCCGGCGGTGGATGGGGTGGTTTTCGGGTTTTCCGACGAGGTTTTCGCCCGGCGGGCGGAGAAGTTGGTTCTGGCCGCCGTGTTCGGTAACATGTGGTGGCGTAGGCTGAGGAAGGAGGCGGAGGCGCTCTTGTTGCTTCCGCCGGTTGCGGCGGATCTGGCAATGAATGGATGGGCGGCGGCGGGTTCGAATCCCAATCTCAGCAGTTCTTTTTTTTTTTTTCTATCGCCACCTCAGCGCCAGGCCAGCAAAAAATATCCACGTCAGCAATAAAAGCCCGAAATTGGGCCCGGAGGATGAAATTGCAAACATTAATGAAAGTGGTGTATATTTTTGCCAAGTTTAAAAGTGGTACATATAATTGCAATTTTCGAAAATGTCATAGTTTTATTAGCAATTAGGCCTTAATAAAATTGGACTACTAACTAACCTTGTTATCCAAACACATATATGCATATGTGAAATGTGTGGCTAAAATTCATCTTCCTAATTGGACTGGGGGTCTAGTTGACCAATTTTTGGACAGTTCTATTTCGATCAGTTCGATGCCAATCGATTCACTCTAGCGAACTGAATCAGTCTATCGAATGGTCCCCAATCCAACTGGTTGGATCGACTATTCAAATCCAATTTTAAAATTTATTATTATTATTATTAAAATTTATTAAAATTATTATTATTATTATTATTATTATTATTATTATTATTATTATTATTATTATTATTAAAGATCCATCTTAGTTTTTATAATCTTACATGTGCATGATAGGCAAAATTTTGTTAGGGGTATAGGGATTGTGTTTGTGTGGCTATTGGGATTGGATTTTTGGCATTTATTAATTGTTCCCTATTTGCATGGATTGTAATTTCCTTGTTTTAGTTAGGAATTTGTGTGAGGGGTAGTTCAATGCATGTAGTAAGTTGTTACCTTAATTGTTTTGTCCAATTAATTATTTGTCCTTTCTCTTATCCAACCTTTCTTTTTTTTTTTTTTTT